GAGGTGATAAACATTACCACTGAAATCTACCTGATGACTTTATATCCACACCTAGGTGCCAAGGATCTAAGTGTAATCGACTGTGACTAGTAATAATCAGATACATAGAGATTAAAGACACATGCACAAATATCTAAGTGTTAGTAGCATTAAAAATGTAGGAAACAGCATATTTTAAAATGAATGGAGATCTTCTTTAAAGGGTAAAAACTCATTCAATTTTATGTCTTATAGGGTGTACGCTGAGTTCAATATTGTATAACTGTATTAATTCAACTGTGAACCTGAAAATTTACAGCCACTTTTGAAAGAGATGTATCCTTGCTCTGGAAATTGAGGAAATGCTTCTTCTAAGCACGTGGTTATTAAAAGAAACAAAAACAAAAAACAAACCTACATGAAAGTTCCTGAACACACCGAGGTGTTCTGCAAGGTGAAGCCAGCCATCAGGGCCCAGGTTTGGAAATCTGAGGCAGACAACTGCCACCAGGTGGTGCCATGCTGCAACTGACACCTGGACCAACCAGCGGTTCCTTTAGGCTACTGTCCCTCCTTCCTCTTTCCCCCACCCCTGTACATGTTGCAGTTTTCCAACCTGTGCCTTGTGCTGTGTGAACTTTGTAGACTTTGAAATATCCCAAGAGCAAGCCTGCATTTTGTCAGAGACACGTTTGTTCCACAGATGGATGATCATCAGGTTTGCTGCTCTAACTCACCCACCCTTGGCCACTCTAGAAGGGTCTGAGCTTGAGTATCACCACAGCATGTTCTTGCTGGATGAGTGATCATGGACAGGTCTGGGATGGGCTTGTGCCTGCTGCAGGTTATGATGAGTGCTGAGCTGCAGAGGGCTGGGGTCTGGGCAGCAGAAATGAAGCTTGTACTTTCCACTGTGGGGCATTAAAAATGAACTGTGTGTGTGTGTGTGTGTGTGTGTGTGTGTGGTCTGTGTGTGTGAGAGAGAGAGAGAGAGAGAGAGAGAGAGAGAGAGAGAGATCCAGTGGGCTCAT